CTCGTTAACGAACGGCCGGCTCCTCCGCTGCAGCCGCGGTCTGCGTCGCCTGGACCCGTCTCGGGGCGACAGGCCGAGGGTCCAGGCTTTCCTAATGGCCCAAGTGCAGCATCCACCCGCTCGCCCCGGGGCCTGCGGGCAGAGCCCGCAAAAGGCCGAAGCCGCGCTGCTCACCAGGGAGCAGTCCGCCCACCCTCCCCCGGGCCCAGGCCGCGCCGCGGCCACCGAACCGAGGAGGCCACCACGGGCGAGAGGCCCAGCGGCCAGAAGACCCTCGGCTGGGCCCATCTCACCTGCACGGCGGCGCCACCCCCGGACCGCGGCTCTCATGGCAACCAGCCGGCACACCCCGCGCATGCGCACCAGTCCCGAGGCGCATGCGCTACTCTCCCTCGGCAAGTCTCGGGCTCGGAGGACCAGCCGCCTGCGCGCATGCGCACTGGGGCCCGGCCGCACCATGGCCCAGCGGCCCCGGCTCGCCAAGGTGCGTGGGCTGCGCGGCGCGCGGAAGTACGGGGTGGCAGCGGCGAGCCTGCAGGAGCTGCTGCGCAAGGGGGCCAAGCTGCTGCAGGTCTGCGCGCCGCCCCCAGGCGTCTCGGGGCTTTGCAACAGAAAAATGGCTGTTTCTTGTAGCCGGGGAAAGCAAGCGGCGGGGAGGAGCTGGCGCGGTCTGGGGCTGCCCTCGCGTGAGGATCGCCCACGAGACTAAGCGGAGCGGCAGCAACGGCACAGATGGGGGCTGTGATAGGCCCTGCCCGTGACTTGTCTGCCTTTCTTTAGCAACTTGAGCTTTGCAGATTTCCTCTTGCCTGTTGTTTGCTGAACCTCGAGAAACGGAAAACACCCGGGTTTGTTTGTTTTTATAAAACAGCTTCCTGGAACGGGCTGTCGGGCGTGTCTGTATGAGGACGGGACAGAGGTGACTGACGGCTACTTCCGCCACATGCCAGATAACACAGACCTTGTATTACTAGCCCCAGGGGAGACCTGGCAAGGGTGTAAGTAATAGGAACACTTTATTTGGCAACTTCAGCAATACCAAAGAGGAAGCAAAAGCTTTTGGTTAGCTTATTGTTAAAATTCAGCATGTCAGCTTTTACTCAGTCTACATCCCTGTTGCAACAGGGTGGTGAGATGCACAAAAGCTTCATCAGTTCCCAAAAAGGGATGGCAGAGCTGAAACTGCATCACAGAATACTACTTGACATGTAGAGTACAGCACTGAACTTAAGCTGGCCATGTGTCAACTTAAAAGTACAGTTGGGTGTATTATGCTTGGTTTCCTGCTTCCTTGCATTAAAAACAAAGAAACTGCACTGGCTCGTGTTATTAGTGAGGTGTTACTGTTTAAGGAAATGCTGTTGGAAGAGAATGGTGGGAGGACTTCTTCCCCCACCCCCCTCCTCTTCCATCTGGACACCTGACTGCCTGCTAAGACCGTGCTCTAATGCTCGGTGAGCCAGATTTCTGATTCGTTTCTTTGCTGACCTGATTTCTGTGACTACTTACACAGTAAGGCCTGGCTCACAGAGCAAAGTGCTGTTGAACATCACTAGGGGGAAGGTAGAATTTGTCCATAAAGGGAGGTTTCCTTCCCTTCTTGAGCGGAAAAAACCTGGAGTTTTAGCCATAAATCCCAAAGTACTGTGTTAAATCAGAAACAAAGGTTGAAAAACAGCAGAGTACTCTTAGTAACAAGACCTGTTTATACAGTTCCTGATTACTTGTTTGAGGGTACAGTCCAAAACCCACCTCAAAAATACTTTGGACAAGATGCATTCGTCTAAGAGTAACAGAACCTTTTTTCTTCATTCAAAAATCCAGATGTCAGTGATGTCAGTCACTTCCTAAATGCATTTTACAAACGGAAAGATGACATTGTTGAGGCTGCCCAGAGACTGCTATCTGATAAACAGGCTCCCATGACACAGAAGCTGCTACTGGATCTCATTCATAACTTAAGTGAAAATATTGTGGCAGAAGATAGAGAGGAAGATGAAAAGTGGTTTGATGGTAAATCAATACACCTCCACTAACAATTTCACATGATGAATTTTATTTTGGATTGCAAACATGGGCCCTTGACATCCCCACCCCCACAACCAATTTTAATCTTTACATTTGCACTTTGTTACTCTCCTAAGGGAATTACTCTCATCCTTGGTGTAATCTGGTAAACTTTACTACCCAGAAGGGTACACTGGTCCAGCCATTATAAGTTAGTGTACCTTTATTCACATTAACCACGTTTCACATTGTCTGATAAGTGGTGAATGACCTCCAGTACTATGTTGTACTATTTTAAAATGACTCAACAAAGAGCCCTCTCTGCTCCCCACCTGTCTTCCTGCTAAGCACTACATCCATAAAGGAATTTGGTGCAGTGCTGAGTTATTTCCTCTTACTAGCCTCCCATTCCTTTTCAACCCACACTTTATTTGTAAATATTAAATGTTTTAGATTGACATTCTTCCCCCTTTGTATATACTGAGTGATTATATAGACTAACTTGTCTGGCAGTCACTGGCCCAGAGTAGACACATCAAAACAGGACAGAAAAACTTCACACAAGTCACCTGGTTTCCTAAGAAAATAGAGGCAACTGGACATTTCTGTCAACAAGTTGTGATGTATTCTTTTATTCCTTATAGGTATAGAGCCTCGGTTTAGGAATAAATCAAGTTACATGAGGTACAGTTGTGAAAGCCGCATACGAAGTTACATGAAAGAGGTAAAATTTGCAGTTTATTTTCAAACTAGCTGAAAAAGAGTACTTTATATTAGACCTAGCTAGCCGAAAACTGTTTTTCCATGGGCAGTTGTGGAACCACCTTATCCAAGTACCACACAGAAGTATACTGGATTTAGTAAGTAAGCTCAGAGGGCAATAAGCATAGTCTAAGGAATTACTTAGTGTTTTTCTTCTCCCCAAAAAGGTTAGCAGTTATATTTCAGCTGTTGATCCAACAGCACAAGCCAAATATAAAAGCATCAGTGACCTTATGTTGGACAAACTGAGATCTGTGAAATATAATGGATGTTACTTTGACAGAAGAGAAGAGGCGGCAGCCCGCATTTGCACCTCAGAGGGCTGGTTCTCTTGTCAGGTAAGTTAAAGACTGACACCTGAACAAGCATGTAGGTTATTGGAGTTTATAACACACTTAAGAAAGTAAGTGTTACTGGGGATTGTGGAGAAAAAGCCACTAGGTAGCAGCTAAATATGAAGCTGAAATTAACAAGTGACTTATCCACAGTAGCTTATATGGGGCGGGGCAGGAACAGGGCACAGTTTGGTTAACTTCAAAAAAGACCATGCTTCTGGCAGAGGAGGGAGCCAGCCTGTTGCAGAGAGCAGGACTTTCTAGGACTTCATATTTCATGTCGGCAAAATGTCTAATTTAGGTTGACATTTCAGTTAAGTTTGCAGTATGGCATAGTGGCAACAGCTATGCATACAAAATGTCACCTTTAAAGGAGTTGTTTTCTGATACTTGACATAAAACTTGGATTTACCATCTGCTGTCCTGAACCAATGGTCCACATATTGCTGTAGAGCAGTAGCAACAGCAGGAACTTCAAGACAAGATTTTTAGTCCTTGGCTAATGTAGGGGTTTCAAACATCCACCACACTAAGAGTTGCACCCCACTGATCTCTCACATGAGCAAGCATTTTCCCCTATTATTTCTTAGCTGGCATTGGCTGCCTTAGCAAACACGGACATGGTTTGCAATGATGGCAGTTGTGGAAGAACCCAGCTACTTGGATGTCAATTAGCATCAGGCATAAGTTAGTTAACCTGTATTACTTGCCTGTGAATGGAAGGACTAACCAAGTGGAGGAGGGGATAGGGTTATCATAACTTACTTGGTCCATTCCTTCAGTTGCAAAGAAAAGCTCTGTCCATGGCAGACTTGGATCCTGCTCATCTTTTTTTCAAAGTGGTAAACTGGCTGTCCTCTCACTCACATTTATAGGGGCCGTTTGATATGGATGCCTGCCTGTGTAAACATTCACTCAACCCCTACAGTAACAGGGAGAGCAGAATCCTCTTCAGTACGTGGAATCTTGATCATGTGTACGTATACAAAGCTAGACTGAGCATGCCTAGCATGGATGGTGTATAATATGCATCTGAGAAGGAGCCAGTGGGCTGTTTTTTTAAAAAATTAAGTAGTGACCTATGATGGCTGGCCTACCTGCTGTATTTGCAAAGCACAGATATGAAAGAGTGCAACTACCAGAATGAGGAGTAACAGTAAGATGCTGAAGTAGGCTGTAGTCTACTTATCTGTGTCTTCTCTTATTCCCACATGCTCCCTATACATGACAAACATCCCCCCAACCCTCTAACAAGGTTTTTCAACCTTTTTGGATCAGTGTTCCCCCCACATAGCCAAACAGAGTGGGGAAGGGAGAGGGTGGCATGCAGCTGTTTGCGAAGCAGCAGCAGCCGCCACATGCAAGCTTCCCCTTCATCCGGCTGGGCAGATGGAGCCTGTGTGGCAGTGTGGCATGGCGTGTGGCGGCTCTTTGTCCCTGCCCATGCATGCATAGCCCCTAGTGCCTTCTCAAGTACCCCCGGGGGTATGCATACCCCTGGTTGACAACCCTTGCTCTAACAAGACTATTTCCCCTTCCATATCTGTCATATCCCAGATCCCTTAGAACCATTTTTTGGTGTTAAACACTTGGAAACTCAATTCAGGAGGCCAGTGGGGCCTTCATTTCTTTAAGAACATCAAACCAAATAACCCTGACCCTGACTAACCCAAAAAATCTGCATCCTGCATGTACCATCACCACATTCATTAATGTGCTTTAAGTAATATGCATTAAATCTAGTACCTCCTATTGTGAGCTACTAGAAAAAAGGTGCAAGGGCATTTTTGTGATGTTTTAATGAGCATTAAAACAGGCTAATACACATTAAAACGTGTAGATTTGCCCACTGAAAACCTATCCTAATATCATCACAGACATATATTTCACAAAAGGGTCAACTTACTTCTCATTAGAGGATACTGGAGGCCTTTTTCTCTAAAAGAAAAGCTGCTGTTTAATCAAATACTCTTTTCCCATCTACTGTCTGTTGCAGAATAGAGAAGAAACGTACTGTTATTCCAACTCTGGCAGAAGCTGTCAACAAGCAAGATGGAAGAGAAGTGAACTGGGAATACTTCTACCAGTTGCTCTTTACTATGGATAATCTCAAGCTTGTACATATTGCTTGCCATAAGAAAACCAATCATAATCTTGGCTGTGATAAAACTAAAATTTACAGGAAAAGGAAACGCAGATGCAAGGTCTTGAAGTGACATCCTTGGAATGTCTCTTTGCTATTGTTTTAAAAAGCTACACAAAGGATGTCTGCTTTCCTAACGCACTGTATGAAGTAATCAGATCTCTTCTGCTTGGTCAAATCCCATTGCAGTCGAACTTAACAAGAACAGAAATCATCCTATTTTCCATACCATTGGTGCTGGCTGCCACTCATCTGTACAAAGCAACACCTATAATTTCTAGTATGTTCACATGCAAGTGGAAAAAGGTACCTGATGCCAAGTGTTGTGGCTTTGGAGGTTCTCCGTTTGGCCAGAAGCACCACACGGAGGCAGCTAAAACTCCAAAAACCTGTACTGGATTTTTTTTACTTCTACTGTTGCTTCTATTTTAAACCAAAAAGGGGGTCTTCTAAAAAGAAAAATCCATCCTTCTTGCTGATTCCTAATCCTGAACTGTTTGGTAAGTGGTGAATAAGGGGAAGGTTTTACTGACCTCAATACTGGTAAAGTTACTTGTGATTTTCAGAAGGGACTGACAAATTTAGGTTCACCAGTCCCATTAGCGAGACATAACCTGTCCTCAAACATCTAGGCATTTTTGAAAATCTCCCTTTATACTGACCACAAGCTGCCAGATGGTTCAAGACTATTACACTCTGGATAGATTTGAATAAGCAAGAGGCAAAAGGTTTAGCATCTCATTCATCAAGTGAGCCTCAACCTCTTTACTATTGTAAGTTCAGGTCCACAAATCAAGCTGCAGAAAAACCAAGTTGTTTCTGCAAATAACTACTAGCTAGCCAAACCAAATCCTGCTTTAAGTCTTAAGCATGCAAAGAAGTTAGTTTGTACCTTATGTTCTTTAGATGTTCAGCAACCCTGCAACTCAGATTTACAAAAGCTGAATTATTGGCAAAGCCAGTAACCATCCTTTGTTCTAGCCTCTGCTCTAACTACTTCCAAACTATTTGTACTGACATTGGTTTGTGCACATAAATTCTGTAGAGCCTAGTAAGGCTATGGCAGAGCTGCTGCTCCAACAACAGTGCTCTGTTCCTCCCCCCCCCTTACATTCATCTTGAAGCTTGCTTGCCTTTTATTTCTGTGGGGAGAACAGTCCTGCCTAGGTAGGATATTAAAGAAAAAGCAGGTTTATGTTGGTTCTCTCTGAGACTGTTCATTCAGCAATGCTGTTCCTACCTCCATGATTTTGGAACAAGATGTCAATGAGCCACTTTATAAAAGACTTGGTCAGGCAAATCCTCAGGTACTAGCTGGATGAGAAACTTCAGTGCATCTTTGTATTTTTTTTTAAGTAATAAAGAACTATTGCCATCTCTCACAGTGTATGCATAGTACCCATGAAGGTGGGTGTGGGTGTCTATAAACTGCTTGCAAGAAATCAAGTGAGCTAGAACCACAAGCTGCTCTGTAGCAAGTTCTCACCTTCTTATGCCTCTATAGTCTGTCCATTTATTCATATCCCAGTTTCTTCTAAAGAGCAAGCAGTAAACATGAATTTCTGTCATTAATGCCAGACAAAGAGGAACAAAGGGCTCATGAGTGACAGGGCCATGAAATATATCTCCCTATTGAAAACTAGAAAAGTGTTTATACAAAAAAAATCAACAAACATGATTAAAATAAAAGTTTGAAAGCTTAACATATGGTTACCTCTAACTATGAAATCTGTACACTTAATTCTGGCTGATAATTGCTGAAGGTGTTATAACTACAGGTGCAAAGATACATTGGTCTGATATTGGATTGGCACAGATAATAAAGGAAATTGACTGTATTGGAAATTGGCCTGTTGCTGATAAAGGGCCTGTGCACGTGTGCAGCCACAGTGCAGCACTTGGGAGGTGAGGAGCCCAGCCTGGCAGTAGCAGCATGGAGAGCTGCGTCCAACTGGTAAGTCTGTTGTGGTGGGAAGGGAGGGGATGTGTGTGTGTGTGGGGGGGCAGATCAAGGCCCTGCGGTAAGAGAGTGGGGCTGGGGCAGGTGTGGGACGTAGCTGCAGCTCATCCGGGGGCAGCTCCTGCTGCTGTGCACGCCCTGGGGGTCACAAGCATGCAGATCTGCGCGGGGCAGGGCAGGCTGCCACTGTGGGCTGGGGCTGGGGCTGCGCCAGGCTCTTTCCATTGGGGGCTGTGCCAGGCAGTGTTCACATTGGGTGGTAGCACTGGGAGGGGGGAGAGGCTGCAGCCCCC